CTGTCCTAGTTCTTTAACACTTACCAGCTAATTATTCATTAGCTTCCTCCCTAATGAAATCACAAGGTCCTTGACTCTGGAATGTGTCTTACACTTTTTGGAGCCTTGATCACGGTGGGTCCTCAATTAATAATTATTGTTCTTTTTCCATCCCAATATGTTAGGCTTTGGTATTTCTGAATTAGTACAAGGTTCAGAACCCTATCCAGCTGTCAGAATAGTAAGAAGAAAATATAACACTTATTAAGCACTTACTGCATGCCAAAAACTGTGTCAAGAACTTTACACATTATCTCATTTAATCTTCAAAACAGCCTTATGGAATAGATATTGGTATTGTCCATATTTTACAGAAGAGTGAGCACTTATGACCAAGTCAGGAATCCAGGTCTCTGATGCCAAGCTGTGTACTCTTAACCACTAGGATTCCTGGGTCATTTAAAGCTGAGATCTATTTCTACCACATCATTACAGAGGTAACAATGGTACAATAAATACCTATACAATGCAAAATTTAAAAAGAGAAAGGATAGGGGGCTTCCCTGGTGGCACAGTGGTTGAGAATCCGCCTGCCAATGCAGGGGACACGGGTTCGAGCCCTGGTCCCAGAAGATCCCACATGCCGTGGAGCAACTAAGCCCGGGTGCCACAACTACTGAGCCTGCACTCTAGAGCCCGCGAGCCACAACTACTGAAGCCCACATGCCTGGAGTCCATGCTCCACAACAAGAGAAGCCACCACAGTGAGAAGCCTGTGAGCCACAGCAAAGAGTAGTCCCTGCTCGCTGCAACTAGAGAAAGCCCATGCACAACAACGAAGACCCAATGCAGCCAAAAAATAATAAATAAATAAAATATATACATTTTTTTTAAAAAAGAGAAAGGACATACTATGAATATCCACATTTTTACTACTGAGTTATGCATATTATTTAATATAAATTTTTTTATCTAAAGTTATTTTTGTACTCAAAAGAATCAGCAATGGTCAAAGCAAATCCTAATGTTCTTGGAAAGAATGAGCACTGCACCAATGCCCAGCGGCTGCATGTACCAACTGACGAGACAACCCCATTCTCTAGGATGGACAAGAGGCAAGACCATCCGAGAAGTAACCAACCAACCAACCAACCAACCAACCAAACAGACAAAACCAGCAGGGGAAAGATTATAAGTCAACAGGAGAAAACTGGAGTCCGATCTGAAAAGAGTATTCCAGTTTTCTGGGAATTTAGGAAACATATTGACTCTATCTTTTCTCCTCCTCATGGTTGTAAATTTTAATCACTGTAATTGGTAACAATTTCCTCTTCGCCCTTTGACTCAAAAGCCTCTTAAACTTTTGAAGTACTTGGGCCAGCCCGTTCATTCATCCAAAGTATGTTGAGTGTCTCTAAGGAACTATATGAGATACAAAAGAAGCACAAAATGGGTTTTTTCTCCTTAGGGAGGAAAGATGCACAATACAGAATCCTAATGATTGCAAACTAAGAGCCAGAGTGCTGTGTCCCTGTAATGGGCTATTGGAATTCACAAAAAGGAGGCTGGACTCAAAGATGAGTCTGGAGCTGGGCTTTGCAGCCAAGGCCAGGCTGGCAGCAACTGGAGTGAGCCCGGTGGGATTGTGGTGCAAGAGAATGGAGAATGGAAACTATGAGCTGGAAATCTAGGACCAGAGCAAAGGTGGAGATGAAGCCAAGTGGGAGAGGCAGACAGTGTCTGGCCAGCCCCATCAGCCCAGCAGGGGTTCTTGGTCCTGGAGAGAATGGTCATGGTAGGAGTCAGCCCAGAAGTTCCCAGTCTTTCGCCACAGCCCTTCTCCCCCATCCATCTCACTGCTCTCTCTTGGGTGGCTGCCAGTCCTGGCCACCCTTGACCTAGGCTCAAGAAGGGTACTTGCTAGGGCTGATGGAAGTGATGACAGAGCTCAAGTGGGCAGGCTTTGGGCCTAATCGCCGTGGGAGGTGAGAGTGACAGGATGCCGCAGGGATTGTGTGTAAAGGTACCAAGGAGAAGGTGGGCAGGTGTCAGCTAGCACAGGTTCCTGGACCATCTGTGACTGCCAGCTCTGTCTATCCATCCGTGCCTAGGACGATAATTGGCTGTGCTTAGACAGAAAAGCAGAAAAACAGAACTGAGTTTGCCTGAGCTAGCACCTTCCACTCATATATCTTCAAATGTCACATATAAATACCAATAAGGTAATGAGAAGGGCATGCTTTACAAGCCTAGGAAAGGCACACATTGGCATCTACCTAAGAAACCAATAAAATGTGGTGATGTATGTCTAGAAGAGGTCAGAGTTAAATTCTCTGTTTAATTCTCAGTTAATCTCTAATATTCTTACTATTATTAATATTTCTCTCCTACACTTAAGATGAAGTGGCCAACAGGGCTAAGCATGGCCCGTGGGTCACAGCTGGAAAATATTATGCCACAGCACTTTTGGATGAACTGACAAGCATTTATAGCAGTTTTCCAGAGTGTGGTACGGGATCTGCTGCATCAGAATCATGGGGCTTGGTAGTGTGGTTTATGAAAATGTAGATACTTGAGCTCCACCCCAGCTCTATTCTCTACTTTCCGGTGCTGAAGCCCAGGAAGCCCCATTTTAACCAGTGCTCCAGGTGATTCTTATGCACACAGAGGTTTAAGAACCACTGTTAGAGGCTCATGCTTTAGGAGTTGGGAAACTTACTAATATCACAAAGCCATCAGGTCTCATCATCATTAATTTTTTTTTTTTTTTTTGCGGTACGCGGGCCTCTCACTGTCGTGGCCTCTCCCACCGCGGAGCACAGGCTCTGGACGCGCAGGCTCAACGGCCATGGCTCACAGGCCCAGCCGCCCCGCGGCATGCGGGATCCTCCCGGACCGGGGCACTAACCCGCGTCCCCTGCATCGGCAGGCAGACCCTCAACCACTGCGCCACCAGGGAAGCCCCATCATTAATTTTTAATGATAGAAAGGGAGCATTTAAGTTAATGTTTTGACAGCACTAAATAGGACAGAGTGGCTTACACTGAAAACCAGAAAACTCATTCAAAAATAACCTTGTCTAATAAATTGAATGCAATAGACTAAAGCCAAGTGACTTCGCAGAAAGACCTGTTTAAGCATTACAGGGACGCTCAAGATGAGTCATAATCTAAACACTGATGATATCTTTCATCCTAAGCCCTTCCTAGTCTCAGTCAAAATCTAAGAAAGAAGAGAACACCGCCTGAGGGGTGCCTTAGAGGAACTTAAAACTCTAAAACTTTTAGGGAGTTCCCTGGAAGGCTAGTGGTTAGGACTCAGCACTTTCACTGTCATCACCACACGTCTATTAGAACAGCTAAAATAAAAATCAGCGACAACACCAAATGTTGGTAAGGATGCAGAAAAACTGGATCTCTCATCACTACATTGCTGTTGGGAATGTAAAGTGGTACAGCCACTCAGGAAAACAATCAGCAGTTTCTTTAAAAACCACGCGATTATGATCCAACCCAGCAATTTCTCTCCTGAGTATTTATCGTAAAGAAATTAATACTAACCTTCACACAAAAAACTGTACATGAATGTTTACAGCAGCTTTATTCATAATAGCCAAAAACTTGAAACAGCCCAGATGTCCTCCAATGGGTGAATAATTGAAGAAACTGTGGTACCTCCGTACCACGGAAATACTGCTCAGTAATACAAGAGAATGATCTATTAATATACACAAGAATCTGGATGAATCTCCAGAGCAATATGATGAGTAAAAAAAGACCAACCCAAAAGGTTACATATTATATGATTCAACTTATATAACATTCTTGAAATGAAAAGAAATGGGGAACAGATTACTGGTTGCCAAAGGTGAGGGAAGAGATGAAGGTGTGGTTGCCAAGGGTTAGGCAAGGGATGAAGGTGGAAGCAAGTGGATGTGACTATAAAAGGACAACATGAGGGATCCTCTTGGTTATGTTCTGCATCTTTACTATATAAATGCCAATATCCAGTTTTGATATTGTATTATAGTTTTCCAAGACGTTACTTTGGAGCAAACTGGGTAAAATGTACGAGGGATCTCTCTGTATTATTTCTTACAACTGCATGTTAATCTACAATTATTTTTTTTAAATTGTAAATAAAGAAATGTAATATTAGTATTACATGATCTTTTTGGTAGCTTCTCCACTCTATTCTATTTTAAGCTTCCATTCAGCCAGATGGCAGGAATTAGATCTCAGGCAACTGAGGGTCTCCCTACTTCCTTATATCTAAGTTTCAGGGAGCTTAACACGATGCCAGTCTTGTGCTTGGTGTCATCATCTAGGCTGGTGTCCACCCAGAGTAGTTTACAGCCATCTGTCCACCTGACACTGTTGTATCCTCTTCACCTTCGGGGCTATACTTCCACCCAGGTACTCTGATAGTTCTTCCTCTCAACTGGAAGCAGGAAAACTTCAGAGGCTGCCTCTGGTCTTTTTACCAGATACACTCAATGGGCGTTCTTACTCCTCAAGCCCACGGGGTGGAGGGACTTGAGGATTATCTTGGGTACTGGGGTCACAGGTTTCCTTTGTCCTAAGGTCCCTCAGCCTATCTGGCATCTTTTGAGACCCCACCGAACCCAAGGTTCATTTGGTAGCTGCGATGGGCTCCAGGCCCCATGTTAGGTATCTGTGGGTATCTAGTACTTTTTGCTTCCTTTCTGATCCTGCGGTCTCCCAATTCAAATTTTATCTACCCTGAGGGCAGAGAAGGGTGTGCGACAAGGTCTTCCAAGTCTTATATCTTAGATCTGGTCCTTACACTTTTCTCTCCTTCCTTCTCAGAATTCTACTGAATCATCCTTCTTCTGAGGGCATAAGCATAGAACCCCTACATTGCTGCTTGAACTGGTCACAGAGTAACAGGAAGTATGGAGGAAAATCCTCTTGTCAACATATCAAAATAGTATCCCGTGGTATTTTCTACAGTCTTTCTGATCTTGATTCACTTACTCTCCTACTTGTCTCTCCCTTCAGCTTGTGGCCCAAGTCCTGGAACATAAAGATATAGGCTTTGTGATGGTGGATGCCAAGAAAGAAGCCAAGCTTGCCAAGAAACTGGGTAAGTGTGATTTTCTTTGAGATACATCATGAAGAAACAAATGTGTCTTGCAAAAATAAAAAGTACGGTCATTTTTTCTTGCATGATAACTAGACTATTTTTGAATAAATTTAAAATGATCCTGCATACCTTAGTCTTGGCTTGGGGAAGAGTCTCACAAAAGTAAATACAGGTCCGAATTAAATAATTTCACATCAGTCATCTAATATATCTTTGTATCAGTACAAGGAAGAGGGTTTCTTCCTGGAGAAATGGACACTAAAGATTCAAACCTTGGGCTTCCCTGGTGGTGCAGTGGTTGAGAGTCCGCCTGCCGATGCAGGGGACACGGGTTCGTGCCCCGGTCCGGGAAGATCCCACATGCCGCGGAGCGGCTGGGCCCGCGAGCCACGGCTGCTGAGCCTGCGCGTCCGGAGCCTGTGCTCCGCAACGGGAGAGGCCACAGCAGTGAGAGGCCCGCGTACCGCAAAAAAAAAAAAAAAGATTCAAACCTTTATTTCCAGCTTCTAGATCATGTTAAAAGGCTAGCTTCTCGATGGCGGGTGGGAAGTATAAAATAGGAATTTGGAAGTAACATATACACACTACTATAAATAAAATAGATAAACAACAAGGACCTACTGTATAGCACAGGGAACTATTCTCAATATTCTGTAATAACCTATATGGGAAAAGAATCTAAAAAAACCAAATATATATGCATGTATAACTGAATCACTTTGCTGTACATATGAAACTAACACAACATTGTAAATCAACTATACGTCAATTTTTTAAAAAAGCCTAACCTCTCTATTTCACTGACATGGTGATCTCTTTGAGGGAGATCAAATCTCTTTTTCCAACACCTATCATTTCCTGACCTCTTGGCTGAAGCAGCCAACAAAGAATGTCATTAATAGTAGTGACTCTAGGGTCCCAGTGGTTTCTAAATTTAAGTCCAAAGCCCAGCTGGGCATTGTCACCAAGGATGAAAGGGAGGATTTAGATGAGGTATGGTTAAGCAAGCGACTGCACAGTGCAAGTTGTAATCTCTTGTGTCAATATGTCATGGTTAAGTGCAAGAGCGCTTTAAGATTCTTACACCTCTAATCCCAAGGAGAGAGAATATAGGTTACTCCGCTGGGTTGAAACACCCCCAGATGTGTACTGCCCATTTCACTTTTTCTGCATGACCAGTGAAGGATGGCTATTAAAAGAGAGCAGGAAGTTATAAAACAGGATCTTTGAAGAAAGGTTAATTGGATTTGGAGTAGTAAGCACAGGATAAAAAAGATTAGTGGTGGTTCAGTAAATACCTTCAGGCACACGAAAGTGCATTATCTTAGAGAATTTCAAACAACTGTTTTCTATTTTATTTTCAAGAATAGCTTTTTTAAAGAAAGATTTAAATTGTAAGAAACAATATTTTAAAAAAAAGAAACAATATTTAGGGTTAGCTACAAGGAAGAACTCATGACTATAAAATAATAATGAATTATTAAGAATGCCTGGGATATCTCTTTTCCTGGAGATAAATTAAGAAGATTTTTTCCCTTGAGCAGGGGAACAAAGCATGTTCAACTCTTTCTCTAGTCAAAAGCAAGTTGATGAGCTGTCCAGCGCCTCTTGATACCCTAGTCTTCTCCCTTCCCACTGTTTTTTTTTTTTCGGTACGCGGGCCTCTCACTGTTGTGGCCTCTCCCATTGCGGAGCACAGGCTGCGGACGCGCAGGCTCAGCGGCCATGGCTCACGGACCCAGCCGCTCTGCGGCATGTGGGATCTTCCCGGACCGGGGCACGAGCCCGTGTCCCCTGCATCGGCAGGCGGACTCTCAACCACTAGCGCCACCAGGGAAGCCCTCCCTTCCCAGTGTTTTAATGAGAAGTTGAATTTGGGAGAATTTCCAGTAAATTTAGTTAGAGGAAAAAGCTGGTGTTCCAGAAATCTAAAAATTTAGGGAGGACAAGCTGGGTAAATAGTCATAAGAATGGACTGGTGGATATCCTCCCCATGGAGGATGTGATGGGGGTTTAAATGTCTAAATGAACCTCTAAATGAAATGGGGCGGGTTCTTTCTGACTATTCGATCCTCGGAGTTTACAGGACAGTTGTATTTTGTGAAGCTGCTCCTTGATCTCCATCCCCATTTCCATGTGCCTGAGTTTGGTCTCTGGACTGGTGCAACAACCTCCTAACTGGTTTCACTCAGAGAAAAATCTAACAGCAGGACACTGGCTGAGGTTCCCCATGGCACCCTTTGTGATCAGTCACTGCCTGCTTCAGGGATACCTGGCCCATCGCTCCTTTAGATTTACAAACGGTGCTCCATGGTGTGCCACGGGTTCTTCAGAAGTGCCCTGGGACACGGTGGGCAGCCTCCCTTTCCTAGAGGTTCTGCAGAAGAGTTCATCTGGAGAAGGCATCCTTCAGCTAATCCGAGAGTTTGAAAACAATTAATCTAAGGAATTAAGGATGCCGCGCTGTTGGACTTAAGGCCAGCCTCGGCTATTTAGCATTCCTGGGGGGAAATGCAGTTCTCCAGCAAAAAGCATCTGTGAAAGTACACAGCATTACGCTGAGAGTGGTGGAGGGTAGGAAAGAAGATGCAGAACCTGCCCTTGCAGCGTTATCAGCAGACTGGGAAAAGATGCGCAGAATTCAGCTACAATAGAAAAGCAAGCTGTTCATTCTGGCTGCAAACATTTATGGGGAGCCCAGTGTGTCCAGACTCCATTCAAGGCACTGGGATCCCAAGAGGACAGCAGCCCTACCCTTATAGAGGGCTCGCTGTTATAGTGAATACCTCTAAATGGAGCTGAGAGCAGATCCATAATGGCAAGGGAGATTGGAGCGGCCTTCTCTGGAAAAATGGGTCGTAAGCTGAGACCCAAAGGAGTTGACCGAGATGGGCAAGGGGGTGGTGGTGGTGGTGAAGGTCACTCTAGGCCCAAGGAGAACATCTGTGCAGAGAATCATGCGCTGTGATTTTTCCTTCATGTCCCCTTTCACAGCAGCTCTTAGGCAAAAAGCCAAGGGAGTTGCACAGGGATGAGGAGCGCAGTTCTCAAGGGAGCACGGGTCCACCCAAGGGAGGATGTAAAGGATAGGGCAGGCACTAGGTTGTGGAAGGGCTTGAATGTCAGGCTAAAAAGCCAGGTAGGCATTGGGCATGAAAACTTTTTGATAAGGAGAATGGGGTCAGCAATACTTTTAGAAAATTGAAGCAGTGGTGGAGTGGAGATTAGATTTTTGGTTCTTGACTAGTTCATTTTGAGTTTCCACTCTGGGAGCCCTTCAGAGGTGTGGCTGCAAGGGAACTGATCCTAGGGTTCATTCTAGTTCCACTGAGCCTGACCCCATGTCACCCAGGTACCCTGAGCCAGACCGTGGCCAATAGGATGGCTCTTCCTACATCGGAATGACTTTATTTGGGGAACTCTTTGGTTTTTTTTTAGGTTTTGATGAAGAAGGAAGTCTGTATGTTCTTAAGGGTGATCGCACAATTGAGTTCGATGGCGAGTTTGCAGCTGATGTCTTGGTGGAGTTTCTCTTGGACGTAAGCATTTATGCACAGTGGCCCTGCATGGCACTGTTCAAATACAGGGGGAAGTAAAAGCCCAAAGTAAGAACAGAGAAGGTGAATAACCTGACCTGGTCTAAGAAAGATATCTCAAGCTTCACAAAAAACTAAATCATGCCTATATCACGGCAATATGTCTACTGGGAAGCTGGCCCTTCAATCACCTCAGAAACTATTTTATTAGCGACCAGAGGGTCACAAATCGGGACTGTGTAGTAGTAAGATGTTAATTCTCTTAGCAATTATACACAAACATCCCCAGAATTCCCTTGGCTTTGTTCCAGGGCTTCTGAAGAAAAGTGTAGGAGAGAGAGTTGGATAGTACCTGGAAGATGGGGTAGGGAGAGGGCTAGCAGTCGGCTGAGTGACCCCTCAGGCAGGATGAAAAGAGGCAGGGCTAATGAGACACCCAATATCACACTCCCTCTCAGCCATGGACGTCCAACACCCTGGGGTCCACGTGCTCAGGCAAACAGAGCAACAAACTTTATAAAAATATTCTTCCATAGATAAACTCACGCTTTCAGTAACAGCTGTGAAGTCAAGTTCTTTTGAACACAGGTGCCTGTGCAGATAAAGAACATCCATAATGGTGATTCCTTATCTACCAGCTGGAATACAGTGGCCTATTGCCTTTTCCCCACTGCCTCAGAAACCCAGACAGAGGGTCGGAAGTAAGTTGGAGGTTACTTCCTACAAAAAAGTGCACATAGGCTCTGCTTGGCCCTCTCGCTAACCCATACCTTATAAGCCCTCAAAAAAGCTGAGGGAGGCAACAGGATAACTGTGGGCCCAATGGCCCTGCTCTGGCTCTGTCAACCAGGAGGGGGCTTTTAGATGCAAGTACCTTAAAGAATAAGCAGCGTCATTGACCCACACAAATGGAAGACCAGGGCGAGGGCAGATTTTAGGCTTGATCAGTCAGGGCTGTAGCTCCATTTTTCTCTGTAAATCACAGATAATGCTCTTTTCGGCGTGTTGGCTTTGTCCTCAGGCTGACTATTCTCAAGTTGGTTATAAGATAGCCAGAAGCAGGAGCTGATATATCACATTTCCTCATTCATATCCACTGAGTGGGGGAAAAATCCAGCCTCCCATTGCTCTCTTAAAAGGAAAGTAGAACTTTCCCCAGGCCTTCAGGCTTATCTACCCTGGAGATTCATTGGCCAGAATTGGGTCACATGCCATTCCTGAATCAATAACCGGCAAGAGAAATGGAGTTGCCCCCAGACCGATCAGCCTACCCCTTGAGGTAAGGTCAGTTCCTCTAAGAAAAGAACTGTGCTCACGGGGGAAGGTGGGGTGGCCATTGAAGCACCAGGACCTAGTCCACAACTTCCCTCCAAAGCCCTCTATACATGTTTCTGATTTCCCCTCCGGGGAGGGAAAAGTTCTCTTATTTGAACAGCTTTTGTGTCATGTGTGTGGTATTCCAGCTCATTGAAGACCCCGTGGAGATCATCAACAGCAAACTGGAAGTCCAAGCCTTTGAGCGCATTGAGGACCATATCAAACTCATAGGCTTTTTCAAGAGTGAGGACTCAGAGTGTAAGTTGTCTGTCAGCCCCAGCCTGTCACTCTAAAGGCTCTTTTCCCAACAAGGTGTGTTAGCTTATCCAGAAAGAAGATGAGCCATTAGCACATCATGTGCTAGGTAGAATAGAGGGAGAATCTTCCTTGCACCCTATGGAATGGGACAAATGAGCAGAAATTATGCAAAACAGGCAGGGGAGCTGAAAGAACATTAAGGTTGGGTCTTGTTTGCTGACCTTGAAGGGGGCCGAGTATTTGACAGAAGAGAGAAAAGCCCTTCCTCCACCTTTTCCACCTGCCCACCAACCCGTGGGATTCTCTCCCCAGATGGGGCAGAGAGTGGGCTGTCTCTCTGACATCGGCAGCTCCTGTGGTCAGCAGTTGGAGAGCTTCTCAGTTACTTGGACAGCATTAGAGGAAAATCTGGGTAGGGATGGGCTTGGGAGCTACAGCACAATGTGGAAGACTGCTGGCCAACCCCCCTTGACCACCAAGGCTGCCTGCAACGGCACAGCCACGCCCTTTGGTACACTCCCTTTGAAAGCTTTGTGGCCAGCTTTGGGGTGGGCAGAGGAACATATCAGACATCACCACAACCCACACAGGGGTGATCGGCGTAGCGAGTGGGAGTCAGGAAGAGTCAGGAAGAGAAGGAACCAGGAAGGCCAACTACTTGAGGACACTTTTTTAAACTGCTTTGGCAACAAGGGCCCTATATGACTTAAGGCTTTTTCTGGTGTCTGAGCCTTGGAGAGAGGGACAGTGTTAGAAAGAGTGGGCATAACTATGAAAGAGAATCTGGTAGCATTCGTACGTGTGGGAGGTGCAAATAAGGGCTGCTCATGACTATTTCTAGAAACTTCAAAATATTTTGAAATTATTTGTAAAGCCGTTTCTGTACCCCATCGGCCAACTGCCATCCTTAGTCGTCTCATCAACAACCCACCTATTTTCTCTCTCTCATGACCCAACTGTCTTCTCATTTACTACATAAAAGCCTCTATTCACCCTCCTTAAGGGTGTGTTTGCGGGAAGGAGCCTAGCCAGGGAGTTTCAACCAAGTTCTTTAGGTGACTTTATTTCAATTTTCACATTCCTATATAGATGCTGACTACTCTGGGGTGCTTCTCCTGACCCCTTCTCTACTTTCTCCTCTTTATTTCACTTCCTTCTATTTCCCTTAATCTTTTTCTGCCTTCCCCGACCCCCTCAATTTTTTCTATCCATTTCCATCCTTCTGTTTCTCTCTCTTCCTCCATTAAGCTCAGGATAGCATATGGGGAGGGAGACGAGGCCAAGATTGGGATAAGAAACACATCTTCCAGGGAATTCCCTGGTGGTTCAGTGATTAGAACTCTGCGCTCTCACTGCCTAGGGCCAGGATTCGATCCCTGGTGGGGGAACTAAGATCCCACAGGCCGCACGGTGTGGCAAAAAAACAAAACAAAACACATCTTCCAGTTTATACCTTCCCCCACCCTAAATGAATAACAATAATAGGTCCATTTAACTAACATATATCCTATGCCAGGGCCCATGCAAGGAGCTTTCTGTAGACGCCTTAGTTTCATTCTCACAACTAGCCTGTAAGGCAGTTACCATCAGTATCAGCATTTTAATGATGAGGAAATGAAGGAACGGAAAGGTTGAGTGAACTCACCCAGTATCACACAGCTACCAAATAAATGGTAGAGCCAAGGTTTACACCCCAGACATCTGACTTTAATGCTCATACACTGAACCACTGGGCTGCACTTTCAAGACTTTACAGCTTTGTCGGGTCATGGCACACATGAAATGTGACCATGTTTGTAAGACACATAGTGGTAAACTGGAAGAGATTTACTTGGGCTTAGCAAAAAAAAAAAAAAATTACCTTCTTAATATAATAATATACAAAATAATAGGAAAGATATCAAATATTACATTGTAGAAAACTACCAAGTAAAATATTTTTAGATTTTGAATGAAAATCTTGTGCTTGTTTCTAAGAATATAGCTTTTGATATTAGGTTTTATGCTTGAAATAGCAACATACAGTTCCTGATCAAGGTGTTTTTTTGTTTTTTTGTTTTTTTGCGGTATGCGGGCCTCTCAGTGTTGTGGCCTCTCCCGCTGTGGAGCACAGGCTCTGGACGCGCAGGCTCAGCGGCCATGGCTCACGGGCCCAGCCGCTCTGCGGCATGTGGGATCTTCCTGGACCAGGGCATGAGCCCGTGTCCCCTGCATTGGCAGGCGGACTCTCAACCACTGCGCCACCAGGGAAGCCCGGCTCTTTCATATTATATATTTCAAAATAATAATGAAGCATTTCCTTAGGAATATGCAATTATCGCTCTACTGGTCTTACACTTTTTCTTAAGATTTAAATAATAAAATTACTAGTGAGCCATTTTAACCTCCTTTTTAAGGTTAAATTTTTGCTTTTAAATTGACAAACTTTGTCAGTACACTGTGTATTTCACATGGTCCTTGGAATTTTCAGTTAACTTCATTCAGGATCTCAGCAAGGTCCGGCATGTTTTGAAGCCAATAATTTATCCTTTGAAGAGTTTTTAACATAATTCAGTTTTTTCAGTTTACCTCTTAGCTCATAAACTCTTAGTAAAATTCCCCTGGGACAGTTAGACTGCTTTAGTGTGAAACAGCAGAGGCAGGTCTTCTGAACCCATTTCTTCACCTAGAGCTAAGAAGAGAAGGGGCTATCAAGATTTGGATGTTATCAGGATCACTTTTTTAATAACAATCTTATATGTGGAATTCAGACCAATAGGTAAAGTTTATATAACAAAGAATTTCTGTGAATAAATACTGCTTGAATCTCAAGATTTTCAGAATGAACTTGACAACAGTCTTTACACCTTCTTGTCATTACAGCCTCACCATCAGTCCTCTTTAATGAAACAATTAATTATATTATGTCCAATTACTATTTTTGAAAGAAATTTTTTTTTTTTTTTTTTTTTGCGATACGCGGGCCTCTCACTGTTGTGGCCTCTCCCGTTGCGGAGCACAGGCTCTGGACACGCAGGCTCAGTGGCCATGGCTCACAGGCCCAGCCGCTCAGCGGCATGTGGGATCCTCCCGGACCGTGGCACGAACCCGTGTCCCCTGCATCGGCAGGCGGACTCTCAACCACTGTGCCACCAGGGAAGCCCTTGAAAGAAATATTTTTAATTTACAAAGACAAATAATAATACATTATGAAAACTCCATCTAGAATTAGATTGGCTAATTGTTAATATTTACAGGCATTAGAAAAAAGAAAGAAGGAAGGTAAGAAGAAAGAATGGTAGGGAGGAAGGGATAAATTGAATAATTCAGAAAATTAAGAAAATCAGTTTTGTCCTCTTTAGGAATCCTAATGCCAGATTTTGTTGATAATACTGATTACAATGATTACTAACCTAATAAACAGATAGCAATCATGCATTCCATTGGTGTTAGTAGAAAAATATGAACATTACAGTAAATTAAATCAAAAGAAAAAAATTAAATACTTTAGAGTCTCACAAACCAAAAAACTTCACTGATGATAAACAAACTTGGACTAAAGTAACAATCACACCGAGAAGATCCAGTGGGGAAGGCAGGGGAGCAGACTCTCTCTAGCTGTGATGCTTGCTAGTCTTAGGCACAAAATAATTGTTATTGAAACAGAACATTTATAGAGGGAGCCATTGTTTTCAAATATAATATTAACTACCATAAAATCTGAATGGCTGTAGAAAACATCTAGAAAGATTTATCACCAAAATAATTTATGTCTATCAAGCTCCTTGTAACATACCTGTGGCCATCACACACTGGCTGAAAGCATCAGGATTCCTACTTGGCATTCCCATCACTCTGTCTGTTTCTTCTTGCCTTTCAAAAGAGGCCAAGGTCAGTGGGTGGGGAAGCTAGGAGTGGATAAAATACCCAGGGAAGCAGTTGTTGAGAGTCCTATACTTCTGCTGTAGTTTGAGGGTGATTGGTCAGGAAAGTTTAATGGAACAGAAGGCATTGGCTTTGCAAATGGTCCCAAGCTTTTCTATAGAACAAGAACAATGGAGGCAGTGGAGAAACTGGAAGGATTTAAAACATAAGTAGACTGGAATAGTCTCAGCAGAAAAGGATGCCTAAGAGATTTGGTACCAGATTAGAAAGGACCTGGAAGAACTGGGAGGCTACATCTTCCAGGGAGGTTGGGCATGAAAGTCCATCTCCAGCTTGAGCGTGTAGCTATGGATGCTAGCGTTGAGCGAGCGTGACAAGAACTTCCTAGGGGAACTCAGCTGATGGTTAAGAATGCCAACCTGGGGGAAATGTGGAGCTAAAGGGTCAATACCCAGTACGGAAAACCTGGAGGGATGGGCAAGAAAGGTGAGAAAATACTAAGACACGTCTGCAATAAGCTGGAGGTTGAAGGCTGGATGTTGAGGAGCCCATTCCAGAGGGGAATGAGGAAACAAACAAACAAAAACAGGACATGAGGGCAGGAAAAATCTAGGGAATCACATGAGATCAATAGAGCAGAAGACTAGACCGGGTTTCCTGGAAGACAGCTGTTGTTTGGGCAAGGCTGAAGGCTCAACCACAGTTTGAAGCACCAACTTGGAGAATTACCTTTCTCTACCCTTCTTCATCTTGAAAGGGATGTAGATTGGCTCCTCAAGTGAAGAAGAGAGACCTCTGGACACAGATCAGGGCCATTCTTTCTATGACGATAGGGGGTCATGGAGGTGGGGAGAGGTTCACCCAGAAGAGGGGGTCTGGGAAGAGGGGACAGAGGATTCTGATGGAGCCCACTGCTGCCTTAGAGAGACGTAAATAACAGGTACGGCTATAACCACTCCACTTTCTATACTCTCCCACTGTCTCTCTATTCATTCTCCACATCTCTCACCCATCTTCTTCCCCTCCACCTAATCCTCTATCCCAACTCTCAGGTTTTATGACATATTTTCTTTTTTTTTTGCGGTACGCGGGCCTCTCACTGCCGTGGCCTCTCCCGTTGCGGAGCACAGGCTCTGGACGCGCAGGCTCCGGACGCGCAGGCTCAGCGGCCATGGCTCACGGGCCCAGCCGCTCCGTGGCATGTGGGATCTTCCCGGACCGGGGCACGAACCCGTGTCCCCTGCATCGGCAGGCGGACTCTCAACCACTGCGCCACCAGGGAAGCCCTATGATATATTTTCTGATGACACAACTACTTTTATGAGGAATGAGTTTGTGTAAACGTGTATCAGTTTGTACAGCTGTTCTTGTAAATTTTTCAACCCCTGTCTCGCTTGTGTTTATTATGCTTTCGTCTATTCTAGCAGCTATCACTTGCACTGTGGTTCTTTAAGGGCCCATAACCCTACTTGGCTGTGAGCCTTTGATATCAGTGTCCTTGTCTTACTCGTCTTGGTGTCCCCTGAGTCAGCATGATTCTTGAAATGTTTTTCATTGAATATTAGAAAATTCTGCCTGCTCCTGGGATTCTAGCTAAAGTTTATGCCTCTGATGATTAAGAGATATGAAATTCCATGAAATGGAAAAAAAGGTAATCTTGTTAAGAATGAATCATAGGATCATTGACTCTCAGGATTATAGACTTTATGCAGAACAACCACCAACACCAACACCATTACCATCACCCTCACATATCAGACAGGAATACGAATGTCTTTACCAAACAATAACTATCTAGGTGTAGTGAGGCACAGCATGGCCACACTCATGTGGTCTCATGCTTATCTTGACCAGTTTAGATTCAAGTTTGGGGCCAGAATCAAGCAAGGGCTTGGTTAATTTTTTTTTTTTTTTGTCTGCATCGTATCTTAGTTGCGGCACGCAGGATCTTTGTTGTGGCACTCGGGCTCTTCGTTGTGGTGCACGGGCTTCTCTCCAGCTGTGGCATGCAGGTTTTCTCTTCTCTAGTTGTGGCATGCAGGCTCCAGGGCATGTGGGCTCTCTAATTGCGGTGTGTGGGTTCCAGAGCGTGTGGGATCTGTAGTTTGGGGCATGAGGTCTCTAGCTGAGGTGTGCGAGCTCAGTAGTTGTGGCGAGCGAGCTTAGTTGCCCCGCGTCATGTGGGATCTTAGTCCCCTGAACAGGGATTGAACCCGTGTCCCCTACATTGCGATGTGGAGTCTTTACCACTGGACCACCAGGGAAGTCCCTGGGGTTGGTTAATTTTAAGTCATCTCTCAGGAGATCAGAATGAAAAAAGAAAACTTAAAAAGAGGGAAAGAAAAACTAGGAGTTACCCAAAGAAGTACTCCTGTTAAGAAGTTTAAAATTCTTCTGTGATGTCATTTTTGATTGAGTTGCTTTGCATACTAAGTGGGTTTTCTTCTTACTCAGTGCTCACTTATACAGCAGTACTCTTTAGAGGGCACACGTAACTAGCAGTGAGTTTGAGTGAAAAAGTTTCTTTTGGTTTTTCTCTCCCTTGTCCTCTCTTGGTTTCTTCTGTTTTCTCCTTTCTGTCACCCAATTTCCTAAAACACAGAAAAGTGTGATAAAGAGTTCCTCTTTTGGGTGATAGAATGCCAGTCAGTTCAAAATCCTTGGGGTTTAAAATAGTATCAAATAATTATCTATCTAAATAATGGCTACTAAATAACTATCCAATCGGAATTAATTGGTTTCCCACTTTCTCTACATTATTTAAAAAGAGAAATTTCTGATGCAGTGTGTATCTTGAAAATGTCTCTCCCTTTTTTCTTCTTCCTCATAGATTACAAGGCTTTTGAAGAGGCAGCTGAACATTTCCAGCCGTACATCAAATTTTTTGCTACTTTCGACAAAGGGGTAAGTACCTATGAAACCGCTTTAAAGATTGAACTTCCCACCACTTTTCTTTTGGCCACATTAACCATCCTCTATCCATTAACACTTTCTCCAGAAGCGTTAGAAATATGGCAGTGAGTATGGCAGTGAATAAGGCAGTGAATACGGCAGCGAATAAGGCAGCGAATATGGCAGTGAATAAGGCAGTGAATACGGCAGTGAATAAGGCAGTGAATACGGCAGTGAATATGGCAGTTAATACGGCAGTGAATAAGGCAGCGAATATGGCAGTGAATACGGCAGTGAATAAGGCAGCGAATATGGCAGTGAATAAGGCAGTGAATACGGCAGTGAATATGGCAGTTAATACGGCAGTGAATACGGCAGCGAATATGGCAGTGAATACGGCAGTGAATACGGCAGTGAATAAGGCAGCGAATATGGCAGTGAATACGGCAGTGAATACGGCAGTGAATATGGCAGTTAATACGGCAGTGAATAAGGCAGTGAGTACGGCAGTGAATATGGCAGTTAATACGGCAGTGAATAAGGCAGCGAATAAGGCAGTGAATACGGCAGTGAATACGGCAGTGAATACGGCAGTGAATAAGGCAGTGAGTACGGCAGTGAATATGGCAGTGAATACGGCAGTGAATAAGGCAGTGAGTACGGCAGTGAATATGGCAGTTAATACGGCAGTGAATACGGCAGTGAATAAGGCAGCGAATATGGCAGCGAATACGGCAGTGAATAAGGCAGCGAATATGGCAGTGAATACGGCAGTGAATAAGGCAGTGAATACGGCAGTGAATACGGCAGTGAATAAGGCAGCGAATACGGCAGTGAATACGGCAGTGAATAAGGCAGCGAATATGGCAGTGAATACGGCAGTGAATAAGGCAGTGAATATGGCAGTTAATACGGCAGCGAATAAGGCAGCGAATACGGCAGTGAATACGGCAGTGAATACGGCAGTGAATATGGCAGTGAGTGAATAAGAAATGAGTATGAAGATGATTCATTCAGAAGCTCTGTAAGGGTATTTCTGAAAGCGTCCAATAAAGAGAGATGAACCACTCTTTATCACCTTCAACACTAAGAATGGGAAGTGTGTGAGCCCAGAGTGTGCCAGGACACTGGTCACTGCTTCCTTTTTGTTTAGGGCCATCCTCTGCCTTCCTGGGGTTGCATACTTCCCCCTCTACTGGGTCAGGATGGGGGATGAAGTGGAGAGGAGCGCTGACCATCTGAAGCCCTGGTGCTTCAGAAAGTTACTTTCATCCTCAGGAGAAGCTATTGATGTACTTGTCTGTAATTCAATGGATCTATATTTTCTGGATGTGGCAAGTTCCTTTTTAAGCCAAAGAACAGCAGAGATAGAGGGATCTTGAATCAATGGGTAATTTATCTGGGGTCTACTAAGGTTGCAGTACTCCATTCTGGCTCCAGTTACTACTAAAATGGCTACTTATTGAGTATTTTCTGTGTGTTGGGCACAATTTGATATATTGCATCTATACTATTTCTAATCCTTTAAACAACTCCAAAACAACTCTGAAAAGTAAAATACCCTGTTTCCCAGATGAGAAAAACGATTTAGAAAGGTTAAGTAGTATCCAAGGTCTCCAGCAAATTAGTAGTAGTGCTGAGATCACAATTTAGGACAATCTTTACCTAAAACTCATGCCATTTCTTCTGTACCACACCATTGAGCAGAAAACTCTGTATCTGCCCTTGAGATTCAGGGTGCACACCCACACACCCACATTCATACTCACATCCACACAACACACACAGAACACACATACACAACACCCATGTAACCACACACAGTACACACACTCACACAACATACAAGCGTAACACATACCTCCTCACACAATCACACTCACACCCACACATATATAACACTCCCAGTGCACATACATTCAAACTTACATCCACATCCTCCTACACATACGTACCCCAACTAAAGCCCTAAATCACAACGTTTACTAGAACAAATAAATCTAGGACAAACTAAGTCCTGATCAAATCCAAGTGGTAAAAGTTGAAAGTAAAAAAGGTAAAAGTTACTCCTACTGAGGAGTAAGGCATTGATGAACAGTGCTCATGGGCCTTGCTACTTTGAGGAGTTCAAGTTTTCTGTGAAAAACAAGAGGCGGCCTGTAGGTGCTGGAGCAGGGAAGGAGTATGGTGAAAAGAGATTGCATTAAATATATAGGCATAACCACTGCTATGGATCTGACCCCAGTCTACAAGCCTATAATCCAGAAGGGAACTCTATAATCTAAGTAATGTAATCTAAACTTGAAGAAAGTTTACCCTAATTGTCTGGATTAGAGTTGGGAGAGAGCTTGAACAAGAATATCAAAGGGAATAATATCATTTATTAAGTACTTTTTATGCGTCAGGCTGTGTGCTAAGAGCTTTACATAGGTTTTCTCATTTAATCCTCTCAACACCCCTGTATAAGAGGGACTAGGATTCTCAGCCTACAGAAGCTGAAACCAAGGCACCAAGAGATGAAGTGATCTGTGATTTGCTCAGGGTCACACAGTGAGTAGGTCAGCCTGACTTCAAAGTCAACTGCTCTGTACTGCTGCACCCCAGAGAGAGAAACACTACATGTCAAATGATTAGCTGCCGCCTGGCACATAGTAAGCACTCAGTAAATGTTAGCCAGTACTATTGCTAAGAAGAGGCAGTCCTCTAAGCCCAGGAGGATGGAGGTTGGGAGGGGATATTAGTAGAGAAAGGAAGGTCCAGAGGAGCCTAAAGGAAATTCATCGCTGGCGTTTGGTTACGATGGGCCAGGAGTAAATAAGGTGGCTCCTGGGTAAGAACTCATCTGAGGTAAGAGAGAGTCAGGTGGGCAAGCCAGGCCAAGCAAGAAAGCCTCAGTTCTTAAAAGGCTGGTCCAATGCTGAGTTCAGGGTAGTGTCTGGTTTTAGGTGTGCCTCCCGGCCCAACCATATGGCTTCATATCTGTGACCCATGAAGAAGGTGAGGTCAGGCTATAATCAAAAACTCAGAAGGCTCTTCACTAAAAACTCTGTAAGACGCTGAGTCATAAGTGCCCTTGTTCATAGAGCCTTGTGGGATTTTATAACATTTATAAAGAGAAAGATGCACTCTCTACCTCTCTACCTCTATAGAGAGCACAGAAGGAAGAGCTGTTTCACTGAGCGGACCCGATCATGCCATTTGGGACTTGAGAACTTGCACTCATCAGTTGTGGAGTGGGGGAAACGGTGGTGTCCAGAAGGCACGGCTGCCCCCAGTCCAAGCCTCAGTGGTGTCCAGCAGGGGGCGCTAGAGCAGAAGAGATGGGTGGAAGGACCTGGTTGTGAGACACATCCTAGGGAATCCCAGAGGGACCGGGGAAGGGGAGGTGCTTTCTAGACGTTTGAAGTCAGGAGAGGCAAGGGCCCGGGAAGCCCTAATACAGTCCCAAAGATGAAAAACTAACTGGCAGAGGTTGAGATGACTAGAGGACCTGGCCACTGTTGACATGAAGGAGAGAAAGACGAGAGAAGACACACCAATAACTTAAGATCTCAAGTCTCTGCTTCAAGACAGCAAAGATTGTAAAGCTACTGAAAACATTTGGAAATCTAGGAAGGAGAATCTATATATAGGAACATAAGATGGGGTGATGAGCTCTAATCTCTACAAGCTGGGAAGACATTCAACTGGAAGGATCTTTCATTTATTGATTCATTCACTCACTTAGCAAGCATTTATTGAGTGCCTGTTTTGTGCCAGGCACTCTTCCAGATGCCAGGGACACAACGTTGAGCAAAACAGATTCCTATCCTTGTAGAATTTAGAGTTTAGTATATGGGATTGGTGGGTAAGGTCTGGGAAAGGAAAAGATGGGAAGACAGAAAGTAAGTAAACAACGCAATAAATATATTATATTAAATGTATTATATGAGTTGGAGAACTGTAAAGAGGATGAGATATCAGGGCCGCTGATGTAGATTTGGGAGTTTAGTAGTTTCCAACCACTGTCCATATTGGTATGCCCCAAGGAGCTTTTAAAAGCAAGGATTCTTGAGTCCCATCTTGGAAATTTGGATTTTTCTAGCATTGTGACAAGGCCCAGAAATATGCATTTTTCTAAAAGCTCCCTGAGAGATTTCACCTGGCACACAGGTTTGGGACCAGCACTGTTATATGGATCTTGATCCTACATCAAGCCACACAAGGGCCTAACCTCCCTGAAGCAAATGGAGCAAGAGTCAGAGGGCTAAGGATGGTGTCCACTCTATGGCACCTCACAGCCTGAAAAAGTTAGTTCTAATCATCTCATGCCATCTCCCACTGGCCTGTTCTTTCCTTGGAGTGAACAGTGAGAAGCAGAATCATTTTTTGAACCATATTGGTCCAAAAGAAGCTGTGATTCTCTAAACAAGTTGATGGGCAAGACAGATGTTGAGAAGACCTAAATTCATTGAATCGTTTTCATCTGCAACAACCAAAATGGCTTTTGCTAACTTGTAGAAAAACATCTGTTATCAAAATTCATACACATGCAAATGTCAAAAAATTGTACTTTGTAACTTTCTTGTCTTTGGCATACTCCATTCCAACTATTTTTTTTTAAGTACAAAAGAATTCATTACATGGACCTCTTGAGTTTTTAATAGTAAAATCCACTCTTACCATCCATGAAACAGGTCTCCTCCCAGAACAGAACCTTGGATATGGTAGACCCCACTAAATATTTATTGAAGGAATGAAAGAATCAATGCCCCAATCAATCAAATCTCCTTCAGTCTTTACCATCCAAGATACAATTAAAAGAATGGAAGAAGGGAATTGTCTGAGATTCAAAAGGAGGAAATTCTATGGTAGTGATGGGGATATAGTGAATAGGTCTGGAAAATTTTGCTCAGGGTTCCAAAGACTTAAACTTACGAACATCATAATCCAACTTTACATTCATGGTCTTAACACTACAGACCCTAACATACACACACATATACACATACACACTCACGTGCATAGGTGCGTCTCCACTGCTTACCTCAATGGAGGGTCTGATGAGCTCCTTTTCACCTTCAGGAAGCCTTCGTTCTAGCAGACTGTGCTAGGGATGAACTGATGAGAGCATGATACAAGAGGTAGAAGGAAACCTCTCACTGTGACATGCGCAGTGTCAAGGCAATACTTAAAGCGACATAAATTCCTTTCTGTACAGTGTCAAGAAGAAGGTAATTTTCAGATGAGAGGAAAGTTGGAACGGAGGCAAACTGTTAGTTGAGAACACTCTGCTTGACAAATTGCGTACTCAAATTGTGCCTCAGGTCTGTCATTTGTAAAATAAGTATAATAATAGTTCTTACCTCATACAGTCAAAGTGGGGATTCATAAAGTAATCAACTGAAAACACTTTGCATCAGGGCCTGGCACATAGTAAGCACTCCATATGTTTGCTGTTATTAGTTTTTGCTCATCTGCTCACTTCCTACTTCATATAAACACAGTTTCCTGGTTCCTAGAATATGTAGTAAGTGAACTCAGAAAACCAGAATCCAATGTCATTTTCAAGCCCATTCTATGATGGGCCCAGCTTTGTGAAGAACTGTGCGTAAACCCAAACAGTGGTTGTAGAGTTGCTCTTTCCTCCCTTCCTCCAACCACACTCCTCACCCCCACCCCACTGAAGAGGGAAGAAAGTAAGAAAAAACCCCCACACCTTCTTGTCCTTTAAAACCAAATCAGCATGACCATTAAATCTCTTTGATGGCTGGCTCTTAACACAGTTTGTTTTCGTTAGCTCTGAGTAGGATGTTGGTATTTCTTTCCCTTAAGTCCTTAAGAAATGTCTTTTGGAATAGAGTGACCTGGATGAATAGCAATTGACAACAAAAGCCATAGGGATACCAGTGTGTGCTCAGAATGGACCTCCTTGTGTAACAGCTTATGTAACACCCAGTTCCTCCCGGACACCAATTAGTCACGGCTGCCCTGGGCCTCCACACTGTTGGTTACCACCACAGGGCGTCAGCTCTTAGGCAATTCCTCTTTATTTTCAAGGGAACCACTGTTCATCCCTGTGCTTTCTTGGACCACAGCTTTGAACTAGAAAAGAATGGCATTTGGTTTTCTACAGAGCGTTGCACATTCCAGGCCTCTCAAATCATTTCACAAAAGGAGATGAGAGTTCAGCAGCTCTGCAGGCGAACACAGCAACCATTCTGCCCTGACCAGACTGCGTGGCCACGTTAATGAAGAGCGCAGATGGCTCCCAGGCTATGGGCTGGCTCCCCATGCTTTTTATTTGGTACAGCGTGAGCAACTCATCCCAGCTTGCTGGGTACTAACCCAGTGTTAGCACTGAAAGTCTGAATCCTGGGAAACCCCTCCACTCTGGACAAACCAGGATGGTGGGTCACCTTCTGACAGGTAACTAACCATGCAGTTCCCAGAGCCTGAGAAACCATAAAACAAGCCCAGGACTGAGAGACAACCCTTGGGCCAATGCTTCAACCAAAATAGCAATTAGGGTTTATGAGCTGATCGAGGACAGATTCCTGAGTTGGCCTCTGATTCTGAGTACCTGTATGCTTTAAATTGTTTCTGTCAATTGCCTGTTCTATAAAAACTGATTCAATTAAATCCATACATCCCAGGACACTGAACATGATCTGTTGACATTTGCTTCCTCCTCCAGCCCCTGGCAAATACAGTAGAGTGATGGTGATGGTGGAATTAAATTTCCCACCTTTCATTCTGACGGCTCTCTGGCCCTGATTGGATCTCATTTGCCAGAGAAGTTTTTTTCTATCTGTCCTTTGATCATAAAAGTAGATCGGTCCAGCCAGGTGGACCGATGAGTTAGGTGATGAGTTCTTATCGTTTCAATGTTTAAGAAAAAACCATGCATACACTTTCATGTCTTTTGCAGACAACACACACACTTGTAGCCGGACAACCCATTGCTACTCTAGACTAGTGTTCAAGGAAACTATTGTCTTACTTCTAACTGTTACAGGTTGCAAAGAAATTGTCCTTGAAGATGAATGAGGTTGACTTCTATGAGCCATTTATGGACGAGCCCATTGCCATCCCTGACAAACCCTACACAGAAGAGGAGCTTGTGGAGTTTGTGAAGGAGCACCAAAGGTGTCCCAGATGGCATGCAGGGGTGGGGGCAGGGGGGGATCCAGGGCCTGGGAGATGGAGAAAAGCCTCTCAGTCCTACCATTTCAGACCCCCAAGGGCAACAACCTGGAGTTAGTAACCGAGCAGACCTGAACTCAGTAGTGTGGCTTTGTTGGTCATCGATCAGTGGCAGGGATGTTGCTATATTTTCTGAATATGGGTCTACATTGCAAACAAGGTTAGACCACCTCCCTGCAGTGAGGAAATCACCTCATACAGTAGGATGTAAGTAAATTCTACAATGATAATGATAGTGATTTAGTGACAGCCTCCTAAAGTACTATGTTAGGTGCTTTTGGAAACTATATTACTTACTCTTCAACATTATGGGGTAATTATTATCATCCTAATTTTACAGATCAAGGAATTGGGCTCAGGGTAGTTGAGTAACTTAGTCAAGGATGAACATTATATGCCTAGAACTTCTGGGAGAGGAATCGTTGATACCACCAGCCCTAGCATGGATCAGCAAGCTTTTTCTACAAAGGGCCAGATAATAAATATTTCAGGCTCTATGAGCCAGATGGTCTCTGTTGCAAATACTCAATTCTGCCGTTTTAGTGTGCGAGCAGTCGCAGGCCATATGTAAACAAATGGGTGTGGCTGTGTCCCAAAGGAAGTTTATTTATAAAAACAGGAGCCATTGGCTGGATTTGACCCACCAGCTGTAGTTTGCTGACCCCAGCTCTTCAGGGAGGGACAATACTGGAACATGGAATATGGTGGTGGTTCACCCTCTCACCCACCCACCCTTCCCTCCACATGCTCACATAGGTTCGTTGAACCTGGAGCATCATGATTCCATCACCCAGTCAGCTTGGTCCCTACAGGGATGCAGCACCTGGAGGAACAAATATCAACATGTCTAACAGTATTTGTCAACATTCAAAAAGAAATGAAACCATGAGCAAAAGATAGATCCTACCTGCTCCTCCGAACATCCCCAAAGGGCTTTTGATGGATGACCCTGGTGATAAAACAACTGTAGTTCTGGGCTGTTTCCTCTCCTGGGTCCCCTCATTCTGGGCCTGCTCTGGGTTCTCAGGAGTGGCAGCTGTATGTGAGGAGGGAAATGGCTTCTTGGCCTGGGAGTGAGCTGACTCCGTGCCCTCTGAACCATTATTTGTAATAGATTTTATAATCCTTGGATCAAATGGGCCCATGAAAAGGCTGAGAGCTTTAGGCCCAGCTCTGTGTGTGACACAACAGGGTCAATCTGCTCTGTCTCATTAGGGGAGACAACAGGTACGTAGACACTCTTGAAAATGGACCAACATCTCATTCTACATTTCACTGTGCTGAGGCTTTGGTGTCAGCCAAGGTAATCCCTACTCAACAAAGCTCATCTTATTATTATTTTTTTTTTCAGACCCACTCTACGTCGCTTGCGCCCAGAAGATATGTTTGAAACATGGGTAAGAAAGTGGCAAACTCTTTCTGCTTTGTAGAGATGGGTATATTCCCCAGGAGGAATACTCCTTTGAGTTCCAAAACTCAAAGCAAGTCTTATTTGCCTGGAGTGGGTGTCTGGATGGTGGAGAATTTGAAATGTGGACAATATCACACTGAGTTACAACCCAGTTCTTCTGGGCTGGCCAGTAGGCAAAATTACTCTATCTCTGAGTTCATTTCCTAGAGTTTCTACTGGCTTTCATTCACTGGCCACCAGAGACCCAAGGTCACGTGGTAGAAGGAGCTCAGACCATGAGTTACATACAGACTTGGGCTCAAGCCCACAGTCTGCCTCCTAGTAGCTTTGCATCGTAGATCAAGTCACGTGGTCTTTCTGAGCTTTAATTTCTATATCTAAAATCCGGCTTTTTGTAAGGATGAAAGGTGTGAAGAACCCAGACATAGGGGGTACTCCATTAATGCATGGTAGCTGTTTTTGTAAATATCAACTCAAGGCACTGGAAAATGCTGAGTCAGACTGTCCCCTAGGTCTGTGTCACGGACAAGACGTAAGGTGGGTCAAATTGCATTAGAAACAGGGCCTTGGAGATACACTCCCCCCCCCACCCCCAGCTTTATACAAAATTCTGTAAACAGTAACAACCAAAGTCTATGGAGCATTTTTCAAAGCATTTCATGCATCTTTTTACTTGGGTCTCTCAACAGTTCTAGAAAGTGATATAGAACAAGCATTATTTTAGCTTCCTGGGGAAACTGACAATCATACAGATTAGATTAATTACTCACAGATACATAACTAATAAGCATTAGATCTTGGGACTTAAATTTAGACCGCCTGGGGCCAAATCTCATTTCTCCAGTATACCTCCTAGAGTGGGCCATGTCCCCATAAGGCAACATTCTGGCGGGGAGGGGGCAGAAAGGGATTAACATGGAAGCATATATTTACTCTCTAACTCAGTCTAAAGTGACAGATGAACAGAACCGTGGAGTAACTTGACACCCTCTGTTTTACTGGCACGTAACTTCTTTGGATGTCTGAAGGTAGAACAAACATTTCACACCGAAGGCAAATGATCTGGTCCAGAGGAGAGGACTATAGAAGAGCAACACAGCACAATAGAAACATCTTTTCCTAACATTTAAACCTTTCAAAAATCTAACCTTTAGGAGGTCTCATTATTAGATTTAAAAATAACAAAAAGCATATAACAGTGCTTTGAAAATAATATTCCTTTTAAAATTATTTTTGCTTTTCACCTAAAACAATTTCAGACTTATAAAAAATAGTGCAAAGAATTCCATGATCCCTTTACCCAGATTCCCCAAATGTTAACATTTTACTCCTTTTGCTTTATCACACACTCTCTTGATAGATATACAGATTTTTTCCTGAACTGTCTGAGACTAAGTAGCAGACCCAATCCCCCTTTGCTCCTATATACTTCAGACGTTGTCTAAAAACAAGAACTTTCTCTTACATAATCATAGTATGCTTATCAAAATCAGGAAATTAATACTAATACAATTCCACGTTTAAATTGACCAGTTGTCACTAATATCCTTTATAGCAAGAGAAAACATTTGTTTTTTCCTGGCCCAGGATCCAATCCTGGATCACAGGCTTATGTTTGGTTGTTATGTTACTTCAGTTGCCTTTAATCTGGAAGAGGTCATTGGGTTTTGTCTTTCATGACACAAGGTACCATTTTAAATCGAGGGTGATTATTGCTGTTCCGTTCTGCTATGCCTTTATCTTTATTTCTTCTTCTCACTTTGTTCATTCTTAAGAGATAAGTCTATAGGCTCCTGGAAGGGAGACACTGCAAAGCTGTAGACCCCTTCTCTCAGGCCTTTCCTCACTGACATAGCAGCATCACACCCCGAACCACCACACCATAGCGGGAGATGTCCTGTCCCCTCCTTCACAGACACCCCTAATCCTCCACACTGCCCTGAAGAAATGCTCTCTCTCCCATAACGGAGGTAGATGTTCAGAAAGAAAGTTCACTGCCTGGCTTCACTGGAACCCATTCTCTGCTTTCTTTTCACTTAGTAAGTTACAGCTTTTGCTATACTGTAAAATAACAGTGATGGCTCACATTATTATATAGTCAATTGTTTTCTAGTTGGGAAAGGGCTGTGTATGGAAGTTAACCAGGTAGAGAAAAGGGCAACCAGACTGGTTTACTCCTTTCCAACACCCCATCATGGAATACCCACATGATTCCCCAGAAGCCCTAGCCAGACCTAGTCAGCCCCTCATCCAAGTCTCCAACTAGGGAGGGAGGGCAAGACAGGCCATCCAGGGTTATCTTCACATCCTGAAAAAGGAGGAGCAGAAATCAGTCTGTCAGAAGGCTCTTTGGGGAACCCCTCTGCCTATCCCCAACCCATCCACATGTGCCCACCCCCAAAGCAGCATCTTCTTGGGCTACTTGGCCATAGCAACTTAAACCCCACATGTTGGGGAAAGTGACCAGCTCATGAACTTTAAAGTCTTTATCTTCAATACCCACTTCCTTAGACATTGCAAGATATTTAAATAAAATAGTAAAACTAGGTAGAACTAAAGCAACTATTGACCTTCTTCTCTCCCAAACTCTACAGGTTTTTAAAGCAGCAAATCATAGAAAACACATAACTTATTATTCCTAAAAACATTATGCCTAATAATATTTGCTGTGTGAAAATCAGACAGCTATTTTTTTTTTTTTTTTTTGCGGTACGCGGGTCTCTCACTGCTGTGGCCTCTCCCGTTGCAGAGCACAGGCTCCGGATGCGCAGGCTCAGCGGCCATGGCTCACGGGCCCAGCCGCTCCGCGGCATGTGGGATTTTCCCGGACCGGGGCACGAACCGTGTCCCCTGCATCGGCAGGCGGACTGTCAACCACTGTGCCACCAGGGAAGCCCCAGACAGCTATTTATTTATTTATTTAGAATATTCAAAGAATGTCAAGGTAGCCAGGGTGGTCCAGACCCAATGCTGACCTGTCCTTCCTCTTTGAGACTCCACCTTCCCACCAGCTCTCCATCCTAGCAAGTGGTCAGCCAGAGTCCTTAGCAAAAGCCCACAGAAATGGGAGTCAGCAGTTCTTTCTAAAAGAATCTTCCCTTGGTTGCAATAGGCAAGTAATTCCCAGAGGGGGGCAGAGGTCTCCTCCAGATGAGCCCCTGCACCACTTCACTGCCCCTTAGTTAGGGAGTCTGACAGTTTTAACTGCTTCTTTTTTTCCTTTGCATCTCTTCATTCAACATGAGAGCAAACATTCAACCAAGACTGGAAAGAAACAGAGTTAAATAAGAACAATGGTAATTGATTGGTGGGTAATTGATGTTTCATTTCTCCTTGGTATCTCTAATATTTGCTAATTTTCTTCAAGAGATATGTAAGATTTTTATCACTATATTCTTTTTTTTTTAAGTCAATAAACATTAAGAAGAACCTATTACATTGTGCTAAGTACGGAGGTTATAAAAATAAGCCTTGCTGTCCCGTCCTTAGGAATTCGAGGTTAAGTGGATGAAACAGTTGCAATAATACAACACCAGCCCGGTATGCTTGCTGCTATGACAAAGGGACATACAAAGTGCTAGGGAATCTAGAGTAAGGTATTCACCAAAGTAACTCCCAAATTTCCACTTCTTCTGCAAAGCCTGTGGAGAGACAATAGATTTAAGGAGCCCATTCTGCTGTTGATCATAATGTCAGGGAGGAAAATCTTTCCTCTACCCTCTCAGGTTCATTTCTTATGGCCTACAGATTAACCTGACAAAAGACAGATTGGCAAGAGAGAGAGAAAAAAAAAAAAAGATTTAATTAGCTATTTATGCATGCGAGTTCACAAACGTGATTCAAGGAGGGGCTTATATACCATCTTAATGGGGAATAGGGTGGGTAGGGGCAGAGGAGCACTTCTGGGAGAACGAAATGACTTTTTGGAAAGATAAATGGGCCCTTAGGAGAAGAGATGGCAGATATGATAGTTTCGTGATAATGTCTATCTGAGAAAAGAAAATTAGAGTGATGACAAGTTCTTTGGGGATGCTCTACTTTTAGGCAGATAAAAGATTTCAGGAATTCAAATGCCTTCAGCCAAAATAGTTTTTATGCCACAGTGGCTTATTCTGGACCCCTTCAGTGAGAAGGAGCATGGGCTTTGGGGCCAGACAGAACTGGCTTGAATCCCAGTTATGTCACGTACCATCTCATGCCTTAAGGGAAGTCACTTAATTCTTGAAGCGTTGCATAGGAATGAGACTTTGATTTGAGATTTAGAAACAATGTATTTACAAAGTACTGATACAGAGGGTGGTAAATATTATTGTCTCCATTTTCATCATCATTATCATTTTAAGCCATAATGCCTTCCCTCAGAGAGCTTGCCATCTGGTTGAGAAGAGATTTGTGCAATTAAAAAGGTTATTTCTGGGCTTCCCTGGTGGCGCAGTGGTTGAGAGTCTGCCTGCCGATGCAGGGGACACGGGTTCGTGCCCCGGTCCGGGAAGATCCCACATGCCACGGAGTGGCTGGGCCCGTGAGCCATGGCCGCTGAGCCTGCGCGTCCGGAGCCTGTGCTCTGCAACGGGAGAGGCCACAACAGTGAGAGGCCCGCGTATCACACACACACAAAAAGGTTATTTCCAAGGCAAGGCGATGACTAAATGGGTGATCTGGGCAGCAAAGGCTGTGGGGTTCAGAGAAAGCCCCTGGGGTATTCTCAGGCCCGTGGATGGTCAGCTCGGCTCTTCCTCCCCCCATGCACATTGGATTCTCATTGAGTAACCCTGACTTACTGGCTTGTCCATGGATTCTTGCTCTGTGAGTTTATTACTGAAAATACTGAAAACACCTGGCACTGAGCAGAGCCTGCCTCTTTGCAGGTGTTCAATACAGTTTTGTGGGCTGAATCTTTGAGACCCACAAAGAGAGAGGCTCTTTCTTTGGGTTACGTATGGCTCTCCATCCAGGGACCACCTCAGGCCTGGGGAGTGACAGCTGTATTATAAGCAGCCTCTTAGCAAACGAATATGGATTCTTAATTCTAAAACCAATTTCCAAATGCATTCTAGAAGGGCACACAGAAATGAACAGAATTAACACTGCTTACTTCCAACTGATGGCAGGAGACAGAGACACGGGGCAGCCTAATGAGAACTGATCAAGATATTCTGTCTGGCGATAATAGCAAATGTAAAATAGTGAAACCTCAGACTCCCCTTCTGGTTGCTGTCGGATTTGTGTAATAAACCTGCACTCATGCACGCGCGCACGCACACACACACACGTTATCTGTAAAATTCAATTCCCCAGAGAGTCTGACCATGGCAGTGCCTACTCTCTTGTTTTTAATAATAATGTTTTCCATTTAATCTCTCTTAGGCTATTTGGAGGTTTTTGTCCATTCCAAACTCAAAGGGGAAAAAATTAGCATTTAGATAGGATTGCACCAGCATTAAAATCAATTGAAATGGAAACAGAGATCATGGGAGGGTTGAGATGCCTGGAGTTTTTTTTTTTTTTCCCTAGAATGATTCTGATATGACACATTCAGGGCATCCAGTGAATCCCTCTGCTGGTGTCAGTGATAATCATATTCACTTGGATTTGTCCCCGGTGCCTCGTTCTCACACAACTTCCTCTCCAGGTCTTCTGAGGATCACATTTCCCAAAGAGGGGACCCTCCAAGCTCCCGCTTCTCCTTCTGCAGGAATAATCAATGCAGAGGAGACACAAGGCACATATATGGTCCTTTCTGCCCAGGACATAGAAACATGGAATGCCACTTGCTTGTCCATGGATTTGAAATACTCTCTAGATTCTTTACCTCGTCCCAGCCTTCACATCCACACACACTTTTACTGTCACACCCTCAACCTTCCCTAACTCCAAATTCCAGACTCTCCCTGTAGCCTCCCACTTTCATGACATTTTAGAGGCCTATCCTGCTTTGGCAAGCTTGGGTTCCAGAGCAGAAAGGACCCCAAGGAAACAACCTGGAGGTCACAGTCAGCAAGGCGTCCCCTACTGACCACACAGGTTCTGCTTCTTCAATAAGAGATGTCTTAACAGGGAAGCACTACACTTGCATGTGATCCTCGTGTGACCAAAACAGACCCACATCCTAATTTATTGCATAGAGTCCTGTCTGCTGCCTGTTTGGGGACAGCTGCAGGATCTGTCAGCAGCATTCGGAAGTTTCCATAATCTGGTATATCGCCGATTATATTTGCTGGAGGTGAATTCTTGAGAACACAGACGGACGTGCGCACTCACTGAGCTGTGTCCGGAACGCTTGTTGCCCTCACAGCTCCTGATAAGCCAGACTCACATTCTTCCTCATTTTGCCTTTTACTGCTGCTCTCCTGGACCCACCAGCCCACCGGCGTGAGGCCTCTTTAGTGCTAATGTCTGTGTGCAGTTGGTGTTTTCCTGTCTTGCAAACCCACTGATCAAACTCCACACATTCCTCCCAGGGGCTCATCAGTATTCCTGTCCTGAATGCATGCCCTGCTCGGCTCTTCTGTGCCCCTGCGTCCACCCCCCTCCACCACCTCCCATTTCCATTCCAGTCTCTGAGTCTGTCCTTGGTACCTCTCTACCCAGGAGAGTAACTTTGATTCTTTTCTCCCATAGGAAGATGATTTGAACGGGATCCACATTGTGGCCTTTGCGGAGAGGAGTGATCCAGGTAGGAAGCCCCCTGTCTGCTCCTGTACACCTTAAGCCTGACTGACCTCTCACCTTTGTCAGCCCTCATCCTCTCTTCCGTCACTTCCGGTTTTTCGCAACCGCAAGGTATCTGGCGCCCCCTGGTGGTCGCCTGTTAGGGACGACTCCACTTTCAAATGTGCGCACAGCTAACAGAACGTTGAACCTCATTCTGCCTACCTGTCCAGCTAGGAAGAAGCACCAAGTACTGAGGTTGAGGATATTAAAACGTCCTAGCTTTAAGGATGTGTGTGTGTGTGTGTGTGTGTGTGTGTAAACGTCTGTTCACATTTAAAGTTCATTTACCAATGTTGTGACCTAGCCTATGTGAATCACAATCCTACCTTAAAATAACAATCATGTACCCTTTGGTCTGAAAAATATTGTCTGTGCTTAGGAGACTTCATAGAACATATTCCCCCAAATAACGAGAACTGGGCAAAACGAGCAGCTTATTTCTAAAGTACAAACTGACCCTATAAATGGATGTGTAATTTTGTTTTATTTTGGAACTTTTTCCTGGTTTCACTCTTTTTAACACCAGTGGAAAGTGAAGTGCAGGAAAAATTAATTTTGCAGGTGGTAAAATGCCGGGTCCCTTCAGCAGTGCTCTGTGAATAAAGGGTCCCCAAAGGGAGGTGTCAGTGGTGATTCTGAAGTGTGTTTTGGAAGACCTGGGGCAATCCAGAATGCAACCAGAGAAGGCAGGGAACTTCCTTTGGGATGGCTAAGCAGTCAGGCTTTGGACTAGGAGGTGCCTGGGCAGGGATTCCCAACCTGAGAGTGCCACAAAGCCACCTGGGGCTGACTGAAACAGGACCCTCAGACACCTGTCAGTTCACGGGGCTCTGAGGCAAGTGCTGATGCACCGTGGGGTTGGGAACCACTGTTCCAGGTAAGATACAATTGTGTCGTATTTTCCTAGGACCTCAGCCTCTTATACATTCATAGGGACAGATGAGGAAACAGTGGGTCAGAGAAGTTCAACAAACTGCCCAAGAGGGCACAATGAGCTAGAGGGAGGCCATGAAGGAGGGACAGATTGTCTCATTCATCAATATAGCCGGTTCTTGCCCATAGAAAGTGCTCGATAAATGCCTGTGGGCAGATGGTTAGATAGGCGGATGACTGATCGAGACTAGCCCAGTTCTTCACTGTCTGACCAGTAGTTTTTTGGGTTTTGTTTTGTGTTTTGGTAACACATTATCAGCCTCCATAGTTTCTTACAGGCTGAAACCCAAATGTTTTATCATGCAATTTAAAAAATTGAGATATAATCCACATACCATAAGATTCACCTTTTTAAAGTGTGCAATTCAGCAGTTTCAGTATGTCCAGAAAATTGTGCAAACATCACCACTCTCTAATTCCAGAACATTTTCATCACCTCAGAAAAATCCCATACCCATTAGCAGCCTTTCCTATTCCCTTCTCCCCCACCCCCTGGCAACCACTTAATGTACTTTCTGTCGCTATGGATTTGACTGTTCTGGATCTTTCATATAAATGGAACCATGTAATACGTGGCCTTTTGTGCTTGGCATCTTTCACTCAGCATAATGTTTTCAGTATTCATCTGTATGTATCAATAGTTCATTCCTTTTTAGGGCCAAATAATATTCCATTGTATGAAAAACAAATTTATGCTGCAAATTATCTGAAAGCTTACTTCCCCCTTTTTTTTTCATTAATTTTTTTGAATGTCCATTGATATCCCAGTTTTCCTATCATTGACTTGCAGATTTGGAAAAACTCTTCAAGAAAATCTAGCCTGCGTCCAAAAAAAAATATACCAGTATGCTTCCAGCTTTTTTCCACAGATTCTGGCCACCCCTCAGCCCCTGGAGAAGAAAATAGCAAAGAAAGCCAGTTGCCCAAGGTTTACAAGCTATAATCAAACAGAATGGGATCCCCTGGTGTTGTGTGAACAGAGAGGAGATCGCCATCCGCAGCAGCCTCCTGGCTAGACTCCAGGGGGCTTCCTCCCCCGCCCTCTCCCCCCTCCCCTCCCCCTCCCAGGATTACAGGGAGGCCTGTCTGGCTTTCTGGAACAATGGAACAAAGAGGCCTCCGAGAGGTTGCAGGAACCTGTTTGACCGAGATTGCTGCTGTAATGAATCAAGCTCCAGAAACTACTTCCACCTCCTCCCTGCACAAACACCCCTGGGCCCGAAGCTGTGTCTTGCCCCAAAGGAGCCCAAGCTGGGGCTTGTTACTGGGAAGCTGGAAGAAATGCGCTGGGGGTGGGGGGAGGGGGAGGAGCTCACAGCATCTTTCCTTGGTGGGGGGGCGGGGGCGGGGACGGGGTGGGGGTGGGGGTGTCTGGCCTGCTCAGGGCTGGGAAAGGGAAAGGCTTTTCCGTGAAAGTCCCTGAGTCTGCGACTAGTCAGTCATTACTCTCAGGTCACTGATGTGTAACCGGGCCAGAGGGGCCTGGCTGCAGGACTAGGAATTTCATTCCTACCCAGATGGTACTTCCTCATATACCTTGCTTTTGCTAACAAGCTACATGTGGCCCACTGCGCCAACCAAACCCCTCGCCAAAGAAAACGGGTCATACATCCAGGAAAATAATACAGCTCTCCTTAAAGAGCTAACAGTCTGGAGGAACTGTGCTGTGAGCTTTATGGAGGTGGTCCTATTTGGTCCCTAAAGCCACCCTGTGATATATGCATAATAATGATCATCCCAGCGTCAGATGAGAAAAGTGATTCTTAAGGGTTAAATGACTCGCCCAGATCACTCGATGTATCCAAGCCAAGATTCAAATTCTATCAGGCTTTCTTGACCTCTGAATCCATTCTGGTTCTGAGGAAGAAGGTGGTGATGATGGTGACTTACCGTATGCTTAGGTGACATAGCAACCCCACGTGGGAGGTGCTACTTTTATTCCCACTTTACAACTGAGGAAGCTGAGGCCCAGAGCAGCTGACTTGCTGGGAAGCAGTGGAGCTGGAATTAAGCTCAGCGCTGTCTGGCTCCCCAGCCGCACCCTGAACCACAAGGCCCTGCCTTGTGTCTGCCGGCCCTTTGGAGTTACTACCCCTGAGGACGTCTGGGTGACCATTTAGCCCGCCCTCCTTCCTCTCTGCTGTCCTTTACCAGCCCCTGCACCTCCAACATTTGAAAGACCCAGAGACATTCAACGACGCGCTTGAGATCACACGGTTAGAGGCACAGCGGACACAGGAGCTCAGATTTCTGGTTGGCTCCTCTGGTCACTGTCCATCTGACCACACTACCGTCTCCAGGACTCCCCAGCCAGCTGCAGGCTCTGGGCATGCGCAAAGCCGCTGCAAGGAATGGGGGCGGGGGGAGCCGAGAGCGCACGAGAAAGAAGAGGGAGTGAGGAGAGCGAGCGGAGCCATCTGGAAGCTTGAGCACCCGATCAATGAAGAAAAGTCAAACTTGCTCCCCACTGATGTTTCCAAATTTGGAATCTACGATTTTTCAGCAGCAGCAATAACAAAGGTCTGAGTGACCCGGGTCTCCCAAGGACTCTTACAGCGGTTCTGACATTCGCAGCCGAGAGCTTGTGTTCAGGGATTGCAGTGACTGCTCTCCGGCCCGGAGCGTAATCGCTAGGTCTCTTCTGCGGTGAGCTCTCATCCTCGTTGCCCCTGCAGGCGGGCCTGGCTGGGAAGGACATTTCCGCCTCTCTGGTCTTGCCCGGTGCCCTGTGGTGCGGCCCGGCTTCCTCTTTCACAGCCTCCTCTCAGCTCCTGCGCTCAGAATGCCGCCGGAGCTACTGTGTGACAGGTTTGAACATGAACTAGTCTCCCCGGCCGCCCCCAGATGTGTCTGCATCAGGCTGACATCTTCTTTAGAACAGTCGATGAACGGTTCACAAAGTGGCGTTTCTACGTGAGCGCATGCTGGGTGGGTATCCTCCAAGGGCACTGGCAATATTAGCACTAACAAGCTGGAAATGCGCGAACCGGCTGCCGTCTGCGCCTGCGGAGCACAACCAGTGAGGGGCCCCGAATCAAAGTCTCCAAGCCCTTGTTCCAACCGAGTTTCAACAGCCTCGATTTCGTTTTTGACACCTGTTGCCTCGAATAGGCAACTGCTTAACCGAGCTTCCAAATTTAAATTTGATTTGTCAGTTTTAAAATTTGGTTCTTGCTAAATGCTAAACGTAGTTCCGGCCCTTAAATATCAACACATTTAATCTTCACAGCAGCCCGATTGTGCGCAGTAGGTACTGTCACTATCACTCCCCGATATGCAGATAGGGAAACAAAGCCATGGAGAAGTTAAGTAGCATCCCCAGGTCACGTGACTAGTCAGCGGTAGAACTGGGATTCCAGCCCAGGCAGTCCAGCCCCAAGCCCAAGCTCTATAACTACCACCTGCGCTCCTCCGTATTGCAAAGCTGTACCGCTGGACTTTTCCGCCAATGCTGGGCCCCGAGAGCTAGGAGACAGAGCGGAGAAGGAGGGCTGTAGTAAGGAGTGTCAGGGTGTTCTGATGTCGCAGGTGCCATCTCGGGACCATGGCGCCCACACAATGTCCCCCGGTTCTGAGCGGATGTCTCACTCTAACAGGTGACTGCGTGACTCGCCTTGTCTGGGAGGTGCTCTCAACCTTGTCCTCCCTAGGCTCCCAAAGGGCCCAGCTTCAGATGCCATGCCGCAGCTTTCTGAGACCTCCACACTTACTGAGTGGGCCTTTCTGCGAGGGGACCTCTCAGGTGACTGCCCTCCACACCTGTGTGTCCCAGCACCTGGCCCTGGGTCTAATACATGTGGGCACTCAGAACATACCTGCCCGATGAAAAAATGAATCCCTCCCATTAACACTTGAAATGAATTAAATGTTGATGGAGTGGGAAAGAAAGAAAATTTTGCAGTTCCTTCTGCAAATGCCACACATGGTAACAGCGGTATCATTATTATCAATGAGCCCCCAAGGTAATAAGGGAGCTGTTTTCTCCATCTTCAGACGATGAGATGGAAGCCCCAGAGAGGTTAAGTGACC